TCTGCCACAACTTTTGACAACTAGCATCACAAAAATATTGGTTTCATCAATACCATACATTCCAACAGTTCCTGAGGTTAATTTGCTACCAAAAGTTATGCTAACAAGATTGAATGTAACTAAGTTGTCAACTTATTTGCAAGATCCTACAATGTCAACAGCCACAACTACTACTCTTGCGTCTTCTTCATCATCATCCTCACCGTCTCTTACTCTTTCATCATCATCATCTCTGTCTTTAGCATCATCATCCTTATCACGGCCATCATCAGCAACAATGACGTCCACATCATCATCATCATCATCATCAGTCTTTGTCGCACCATTTACAATAACGTTTTCGTCATCATATTTGTCATCATCATCTGTGATATCATGTACAACAGTATCATCATTAGCAACAGCGGTAAATTATTTTTCACCATCATCTATAATAACCTCAAAACTACACCATCCAGTAATAACAACAACAACAAAGAAATCATTATCACCAGTACCAACAACTTCACCAGTGCAGTTTGAAAGACTAGCAACAACAACATCAGCGACAACAACATCATCAAAATCAGTTTTAAAGGCGAATGCAACAAATACATCAACTCTAGCAACAACTGCAACAACAACGCCATCGTCGTTGACAACAACAACAACCACAAAATCAAGTAAAACCTCTAACTATAAAACTTTTAGGAAAGATAGCTTGAACTCTATTGTTGATACTTTATGGTATAATATAAGTACCACTGCTGCTCCCAAAACAATCAATGCGGCTCTTATGACAGTCGCTACTGCCGCTGTTGCTACTACTACAACTACCACTAGTATTTCTACTACTTTTACAACTCTGCCAAACAACGGCAAAAGACATTTAGACACTGCAATACTATCAACAAGAACATCACCAGCAAGTGCATTGCCAACGGCAGTTACATTAACTTATGTAACATCAGCGGCTAGTGCAGCGGCGACAATGGCGTTAACAACGATGCCAATAATGACGACATCGTCGACGACTATGTCGTACGTTGAATGGCAAGATATAGCCATCTGCAACGCTGTTGATGATTACATTAAAATGTCAAGGCTGCCTTCACCTGCGACGAAAACATTCACTAAGACGCCAGTTTCAAAATCATCAACTACTGCTACTACTACTACATTTCCTACTACTAGTACTAGTACTACTACTTCTACTACTACTACTACTACTACAACTACAATAACTACTACTACTACTACCAATTGTAAACCGTTAAAAAAAGATTGTGCAACTATGACGGATAACGCTCCGTTGTTAAAAAAATTTAATGCATACTCTAAAAATAATAATAATAAGAAGAATACTTTTACTATTAATAATAATAATAATAGGAATAATAATAATAACAACAATAATAATAATAATAATAGATACCATAACAGTTATCATAGAAATACTGCAACTTGTTATGCCAACAATAACACCACTTCTACTAATGTTAATAAATGTAATAGTAATTATAATGACGTGTATAATGATGATGATGTTGATGGTGGTGATGATGAGTTGTATGTTATCGTTGATGAGGTCAACGGTGATGACGAAGAAGATGATGATGGAGATGGTGATTGTGCTATCATCGTGAGTGAATCAAATACTTTGACACCATCATCATCGTCGTCGTCGTCGTCTTCATCTTCCTTGGTGTCAGCACCTAAGTTTTCATTGCCAATTTCTGTATCTTCTTCGTCGCCATCATCATTGTGTATCGGATTGCCATTCAGATCATTGTTAACATCGTCACCATCAGCACGCAAATCGCTATCATCATTATCGTCAACATCATCACCAAATGCAACACAGAAATCATCATTAACACAATCATCATCGTCATCATCAACGACAAAAAAGTCATCGTCGTCGTCAGCAACAGATAAATCTTCGTCGTCGTCATCGTCAACAAAAATGTCATCATCAGATCGTAAAAAAAATTTGATAGCCTTATTAAATCACGCTCTCTCGCCATCAAGACTCCAAAATAAAATGTTGAAGGGGCGCCAAAAATATGGTGTTCATAATGATGCGGACGATGACGGTGAGGACAATGATGTTTTTGTTGGTTCTTTCTATACTCACAGCAAGAATAAAAATAAAACATCATCACAACGATTTATTAAAAGGGGTGATAAACTCTCAGATGCCAATAAAATTAAACCAAATGTGAAAAATTGCCTTAGTTCTTATTCAATTTTTGATGATGACGATGATGACTTTGTTGCGATGAACAAGACTACAAAAAAAGAGCTGATGGGTGATGCAATGGTGCCTAACGATTCACATCCATCCAATTTGGAGTCGCAAGCTTGGAATTTGAGGTATGAAACGTTTACATCGTCGTCAGAAGATGAAATGAGAAAAGGACCAGATGTTTATGAGAGATCCTTTAAAAAATTTAAACGCCTCCCAGACTTAAAGAAATGCAAAAAATGTACTATACAGGTTGAGAAGTTGAATATGAACAGTGGAATGAGTGTGAATCTAAGACGGGCTGGTAAGTTGTTGTGTTGTCAGAAGAGAGTTGGTAGGACTGTTCGGCCCAATAATTGCCCAGTTTCTAGTGATGAAGAGTTCTTTGATAACCGGAAGAAGAGAATGAAGGTCGTTAGTGACAGTGAAAATAGCGCAAGCGAATGAATGTATGACTTTTAAGATATAATACGTCGTCCTTCAAATAGAATTTTAACAGGAATCATTATGATTTAATGTACTGCGATATTATATAACCCATGAGTATTTGCTCATATTCCTAGTGAACAATAACAGTTTTTTCATTTTTTTCATTATGTTTTTCTGATTTTTTTTATTGAGAATTAACGAGGAGAAATTGTATTTTAGTAATTTCGTATATACATGTACATACATATATCTGTTGAAAATCTAAGTTACGTTTTATGGTTTACCTCATCAAAATCGTTCAAACAAATCAAAACAAAACAAGCTGAATAAAAGTTAAAAAAAGCGTAACAAGTAATTTTTATTTGAACACCAAACAAAGTCAATAACAATATTTAATTTAATGGAACTGAACGAAGTAAAGATTCACTGAAGATGTCGGCTACAGAGTCCAGTGAGAAGCAACCGGATGAAGAAGCGCCGACAAACTGGACGATGGTGGAGCCCGTCCAGGAAGATACTTTCGTCATTTTCGGCGCGAACGGCAATTGGGTGTACGTTGCCTTCTTTTGAAAATAAATTATCTTTGAGAATTGTTCATCGGGTTAAAATTTAAAAATAATTAATTTTGTCGGTTTTTGAACTCATTGAATTGAGATGAGATCGACGTTCTATTAATCGAAATAAATGTAGAGAAAGAAAGAAATGGGTTGTAGCGTGTGTTTCAAAACTTTGTTGTAGAAATGTTTAATGACAAAATTAAGTGCGGTGCAATGTTGATTCCTAAGGATCGACAAAGTAATGCGAGAGTTGGGTTGGCTGCCTCTTGCAGACAAGTACGCACTGAACTTCAAGATGAAGTGGGTCGAGAGCAGACTAAGCGTCAATTACGATAAATTCAGAGAAGGTTCCCAAATATTTTTCAACTCTTTTTTCGATAATTTGAAGAAATTAATTGTGTCTTTCATTATAAATATATTTGGTTAATCTAATTGAAATCGAAGCTGGTATTAACTAATATAAAACTCAACCAAAAATGTCCTGAGCGCAGGTGAGCAGTTGGTCAATCGAATTCCTAACTGCTACATGTTGACCAACAAGTTAGGGTTGCTGGTGAATTTGAATAAATACCAAATTGATAGTCAAGCCAGGCCTAATCCAGAGTGTCCGAAAATTAAGTTGGTCGATTTTCTGCCCGAGACTTACAGAATTGACGACAACAAAGATCGATTGTTTTTCGTCAACCGCTTTAAAGGTTACTTCAATATTTCAAAGCATGCTATATTATTTGGTTGCTAGTGTCTAGAGGCTGGTTCAAGTTTAAGACGCCGCAGTAAAAGTTGTTGATACAATGCAATTCGAAATTTTCAGAAATTGACCAATCGATACGTATATATTTTATTTTATATCGTCCGCGCTCAAACACTCGTACACTCAAAAAAGAACGGCTGATCTAGAAAGATACAAAATAAGATAAGATTAAAAAATATTAAAGTCGCTATGTTTTGTAATAATACGAATAACAACAGCTGGTGAATTGTGGATCTCTAAACCAATTGGTCTGAACCAGGGGAGGGGTATCTATCTGGTGCGAGATGCTGAGATGTACAGGGAACCATTCGCAGAAGCAGAACGTGATAAGAGCGGTCGATTGATACAAAAGTTGGAATTATTATTATTAATAGTACTATTTTATTATTTTTATTGTTAAGTCTTGTTTAATTAATTTTTAAACGTATCAACAACACAAACACACACACACAAACACACACATACATTCGAATCGAATATCCGATATAATTAAAGATCGTTTTATCCGATCGAACCGAATAGCACACATTTTTATTCATCGAACATCTCTTTATTCACATATTTCTTACTATGGTACAATATACCATAATCCGCACATCCCTACTTCGCACATCATTTTTATAGGTACATCACTAATCCTCTGCTGATTGAAGGCAGAAAGTTCGACATTCGGGTGTATATGCTGGTTGCTTGCATGAAACCACATCTCGTCTTATTTAGGAAAGGTTTTGTTGCATTTTTCTATTTTTTCTGACATTTTTTGTTTGTTTTTTTGTTTTGTTTTTAGCATTATTCGTTTTTTTTGTGTTTCTTACAGTTGTACCGTCGTCTGAGTCTTTCAAAGAGTTTGAATTTTTAAAGATTAAAAATAAACGACAAGATAATTCATGATGTCGAGTCAATTTATACAATAAATTTATCAATTGTAATGGGGATCTGTTATTTGTTAGAATAATTAACTAATTAATATAGTAACTAATCTATTTAGCAATCAATTAAATTTTACATAGCGTCATTTTTATGATTTTATATAAACTGCGTTTTTATTTAATTTAATAGTAGGTTATCGTTAAGTATTAATAAAACAAACAAATGGCAATCAATGACTGTGATTTTGGTAGAGAGTTTTTTCATTACTGATCAGAACATTCATTTGAGCTATACCGTCGACACAAAAAGTATCTCTGACCGATTAATATAAAAAATTGGTGAACTTTCTTTCACCAAAAAATTGATGAACTTTCTTGATAATCTTGGTGGCACGATGATTTAATTAATAATTGAGGTATGGTACTACTGTTGCATTGACTGGATTCGAGTTTAGAGTTCCCGACATGTCATATGCAAAGTGTATGACGCATGGATTCACGTGTCCTTACGTGTGTTGTGTGTTTGTTTTTCATGCCTCTGGAAATTGCTAAAAAAATTGTAAAAAAAATCAGGTTATATCAGGTTATGCCTCAACAAATACGATGAAGCTGCCGAAGATTTGACGGTGCACCTGACAAATCAGGTGCGTGGAAATAAATTGTAAATGTTTTCTCGCTTTGTTTGTTTGCATTGTTTGTGTAATGTGTGTATAATTTTTGAGATTTTTGATGTGGTGTTGTGTATGTAATGTATTTTATTATTTAAGAGACAACATGTATAGTTTATACACACGTGCATACAAAACCCTTTCTCTCTCTCTCTCTCTTCTCTCTCTCCTCTCTCTCCTCTCTCTCTCATACACACACACATCTGTGCACACACAAATACGCACAAACACATAAACACACACACACATACATCAGTTCATCCAAAGAAAATGTCCGTTTTACGAAGTTTGCAAAAACGAGACGATATGGAGTTTCGACAAATTCAATGATTACATCAACAAAACTGTCGTCGCAAACAAAGGTGGCGTCGAAATTGACTGGGTCTACAAAACACTCTGGGTTCGGCTAATTAATATTCATAGCTAATTAAATTATAATAAATTATTATAATTAGACTGGGGCCAACTTTATTATATGCGCAATGTTATGTTTTACGTGTTAACCAAAATAATAATAATGTTATTATTAATGTTTCATTTTTGATGATATATTTAAATTTAAATGAATAAAGATCGAAATTAAATAAAAAAATAAATTTAAATAAACTTAAAATCCAGACGAAAATGAAGAACATTGCACTGTTTACCTATCTATCAGTGAAGGAAAAACTGCAGGCCAAAATTGGCTACTTCGATCTATATGGACTTGACTTTCTCATCGATAATGATTTGAAGGTTGGAGAAAGTTCAAAAATTTTAACTTATTTAATGATTTTGGTTGAAACGTTTGAAGTTTTTTTGGCAATATTTGAAAGATTATTTAAAGTATTAGCAGTATTTACTCAATTTTTTTAAAGTAAATACTGTGAGGTGTTTTGTATAAATTTATGCGCAATTTTGTTATAATGTACGTAAATTTATTGAAATTTATGCAAATAAACTGACATTTATGAAAATTTATTCAGGTTTGGCTACTGGAGGTGAATGTCAATCCGTGTTTGGCAACCAATTGCGATTACTTGAAACTTATTATTCCTGAAATCGTACACGAAACCATTTGTAGGTTTTGTTGAAAACATCTTGCACGATATTTTTACTTAAGTATAAGCCTAGCCATTGTATAAGTACATTCTATTACCTTTAATAATAATATTACTACTTATAATAATATTAGTAATAATTAAAAATAATAAAGATTATTATTATAAACATAGAACGTTGATTTAGTGACTAATGATTATACTGTATGACTATGCCACTGGTTATAAACATTATGCATTATTAGTTGTTTGAATATTCGTATAGTCCCAATAAACCCCACAGCTATAGCGTTAGAATGTTTTGAAAAGGTCAGAGAAAGGTCACCCCTGCTACCCCTGATGAATTTGAAATCGTTCGAAGTCCTCTATCACCAGCCTACACTCGTCTTTCCAGTCCTATTTGATGTCCTGTCTGTAAATGTTGGCAGAGTTGTTTTATTTTTGAATTCGTGACGTCATTGTGACGTTTTCATCACGTAATTGTAACAATTTTGTAATTATGACGTATTTATCGACTGATTATGACGTATCTATCACGTGATTATGACGTAAGAATTTAAGAAAAATGATTAAGATGAAGCACTAGGGTGACTCTGAGATAGCTATGATGTCGCAATGGATCACGATGGTTTGAAATGACTAAGGCTTAATCACCGTGCGATAGTAACGATATTTTGACGTAATAATGACGTCATTATGACTCAATAGCATAAGCCTCGATTTGATTGCGGCATATGACTTTTGACTTCACCATGCTAACAAAAAATTCTTAGTTATTAAAATCGCAACAAATTTAACGGATGAACGGGCGAGTTTTATATTACAAATGAATGAATGAATAAGTTAAAGATTTTTTTGAATTTTATTATTAAATAAAACATTCACCAAAATCTTTTTGATATATGTATATATAATGATGCCCTATCAACTTTCTTTCGTGCAATGATGTCCAATTGATTAATATTATCATAATATGTAAAGATTTCATTCACAAAGCAATTTTATCAACACAGCGTCCTGACTCATGGAATTCGCCGTCAAAAAATAACATCATTTCACTCATTTATGATCAAAACAAACCAAACAACAAAGAACCTAAATCGATGTTTGATTTTCCTGTAAAAAGCAAAAGTCTACAAATCTCAGACGACAGATCGAAAACTGATACGGTTGGTAAAAAATTTGTCGAGGTAAAGGCAATTGACAATTACAACTTCGAAGATGGAAGTCGTGGTGATAGTGCAGTTGACATCGATAAACGAATCCGATCTGGCAGCCAAGAAAATTTCGGCAAGAAAAAGTCAACCGCAGTTCCTGAGAACAAATCCAATACATACATCGATCCGAGACATTCAACAACTGGTGCTCACGTGTCCCTGAAACAAAATCAACAACAGCAGAGTCCCCCAAAACAACGAAATCTTACGCCAATCCGCAAAAAGCAGCAACAACAAAAACAACCGCAGAAATATTCATATAAGAGACCGATCGACGATGGAAAACCAACTTTTGTTCGCGGCAATGAAATTTTTTTTGATAAATTAAATTATCAAATGGATACAAGTAAACATGTTGGCAATGACAACAGCAGCGAAAGCGAGGATGGTCAGAAACATTCCGGCTACTCTTTGAACTATCAGAATGATAAAGCGGATATGGACAATTTAATTAAGATGAAAAATATGATGGAATTCGAGGAAAGAAGTTCAGAAATGAACAGTATCTCATTAGAATCTTGCGAAAACACATCCGAAGATGACGAAACAGACAACAAATTGACATATAGATCTATGGCTACATCCAAATCGTTTCAAGAGCAAAATGACACCAAGGCTAACCTCATCAGAGAAACATTTCGACAACCACTTACTGCAGAGAAACAGTATATTAAACCAACATTCTCGAGTTTGGTAAAGCAAAAGAACTCGACTCCACAGAACTCTCAAAATAAAACGATATATGCTCAAAAACAGCCGCCAAAACAACCCAATCCTATTCTAATAAATTCTAAAAGCCGACAAGATAGTTACCTGTTGACTCCTATACCATCAATGCAAAATAAAAAACAAGATTCGAAAACGGTAACATTTAAATCGAACAACATCCAAAGCCACATGGAAATCGCTCCAGAGGGTAAAAAAATAAAAACCAGTCAACAGGTAAAAAGAAGTTCCTCCTTATTCGCGAATCGAGTGCAGATGATTCCTAACAAAATTTTTGTGCCCGGCCAAGAAGTTAGCACAAGTCTGCAGTTGCAACAATTCGACCCAGCTCTGAAGCCCAAGATAACCAACAAGAGGATCATGAAGACGATGGCTAAACTGCAGGCGGAGAAGAAGGTAAAACAAATGCAAAAAAATTTCTACACTCAATCCGCTTACATGCCCCGATCATGAATCTCGAATGTTCTTGGCTGTTGGAGAATAAATTTTGGTGGCAATATCATTAAAAATGGAAAAACTAACAAAACACTTTGAAATTATACCCTCTCCAATAAGAATAATAACAACATCAGTAACAACTTTTTTCTGTAATCTGCTATTTAAAATAATTTGTACGTAACATCAAAAAACCAACACAAGCAAACAAATTCGGTGCACATACGGGCATAAAAATATTTATATACAAATTTCGTTGCCTCATTCATGGTCAACACAATCCTTGCGCTTAATTAATGCTCACATATTCTGTAATGTAAGCTATTAATATATCTATTTATATATATGTATATGTAGCGCTCGAATCGAAGAAAATGGATCGTAAGATGAGAATTTTATTCCAACCGATGTTTCAAAGAGTTGATTTAAATGTCAGTAACAAAAAACCGACAAACATAAATAATAGCAATAGCAGCGAGTCATTTAACGAAATCTTTCAAACGAATTGTATTACGCGTCTACGAGGACACAGTACAACTCTCATGGTATTTAAGTTAAGTTCAGTATATAAGTTATACAACGAATAAAATGCCTAACCAGTCTGAGCTTAAAATATTTAAATAACTGAAGAAATCATTTTGGATAGATGCCAAAATTCTGATATCATTCAGTCAAAAGCGCGTTTGTGCTATCACCATATTTTTAATGCAATAATTACAGCATACACTACTGCCAGAAACAAGTAAACACAGAGACCATTACTACAACAAATGTTACAAATGAATAAATAAATTTGTACAGTAAATTGTCACAATTGTACCCAAATAAATCTTTAAAACGTACTAATTGAAATAGACTTTAACATTATAAAAAATAAATTAGAATTTAAGATGGGAGTATGCATTGTTTGATAAAGAATTCTGATTGGTTGTTAAATTTAGCATGCTGATGTCACTGGCCATCGGCAAAAGTACGTTGCCGTGATTGGCTGATTGTAAAAGTGATTCGATATGGTGAGCTGATTGTAGGTTTGATGATTGGTTAAAAGTTTGCTGATTGAATGCGCTCATATAATTAGAGGGGTTGAACGCATTGAATGGATAGCCACCAGATGTCATGTTCATCAAATTCATGGCCTCATTCATTGGTTGAACGTAATTCATGGAGTGGTAGTGGCCTGCATTTTGATTGGCTGATCGATTCATTGATGGCAGGAATCGTTCTGAGGAAGCAGCAATGCTATTGGATGGCTGAGGCATGGATGAAATCATGTTATGCGCGTTCAACAAATCATTCGAACCTGTCATCAAACCATGATTCTGGTTGGACATCAAGTTTATAACGCCAGCAGTGACTAACAATTTGTCATCAGTTAATGAATCATCATTGATCAATATATTATTATTATTATTATTATTTGCTACGTTTGATATCTGATTGAAAGATTCTCTCTGGCTGACAGAAAAATTGGAAGGCTCTCTCTGATTCATTGAAAAATTCAAAGATTCTCTCTGATTGGCTGAAATATTCAAAGATTCTCTCTGATTAGCTGAAATATTTAAAGATTCTCTCTGATTAGCTGAAATATTCAAAGATCCTCTCTGATTAGCTAAAATATTCAAAGATTCTCTCTGATTGCCTGAAATATTCAAAGGCTCACTCTGGTTCAATGAAAAATTTGAAGATTCTCTTTCATTAGTTGAGATATTGAAATGCTCTCTCTGATTAATTGAAAAATTCAATGACTCTTTCTGATTAACTGAAACATTCAAAGGCTCAATCTGAATGGCGGATGTATTCAAAGGCTCACTTTGAATGGATGAAATATTCAGAGGCTCATTCTGATTGGCTAAAATACTTGGAGGCTCACTTTGATTGGTTGACATACTAGCAGATTCACTTTGACTGGTTGATTCCATGGAATCAACCATCTTAGCAAGCACATCTGGGTCTGCTTCATCAGGATGATTCAAACTAATGTGTTTAGTTAGGAGGTATCTCCTGGTGTATGTGACGCAGCAGAAGTCACATTTGTACTGATAGTTGTCTCCATGAGTCATTCGGTGTCGTTTCATCGAATGTCTTGTACTGAACTTGGCGTCGCAGAGATCACATTCGTGTTCTTTCAGAGCCGTGCAACCATCCTGACCATGTGAATTTGTGTGAAGGAGGAGGTTGCGAAGGTTCTTGTATGATTTGCCACAAATGTCACAAGAAAAATTTTTATGTTCATCAGAATTACTTTCATTTGCATTATCATCATTATCAATTTTATCAGCATTATCAACTTTATTCTCCCCATCTTCACCATCGTTGCAGACGTTTTCAGTTTTGGCAACTGCAGTGGTTGGAATAATTAAAGACTGATGAGTTGACTTTAGATGATTACTAAGCTGGGCAGTGGATTTGAACTCCAGACGACAGAAGGTGCACGCTTTGATCTGGTGCTCGATGTTCGTGTGCGCAGTACTGATGTGAGCCATCATGATTGAATTGTTCTCAAATGACTCGCCGCAGATGTAGCAGCTAGATGGCGGTAGTGGTTGAATAACAGAGTTCATAGATTGATGATTGAAAAATAAATGAAAATTCACACTCACTACGAAAGTTATTTTTAAACCATCTATTCCTACCAATCCATTTTTCAACAATAAATTCAACCATCTACATTTACTCACAAATTTATATTCAACCCAAAAAACCCCCACCAAACTAACTTGAAGCCCTCTACCCCCCTGATCTTGTGGTTGTTGAGGTGCTTGTTCATGTGGGTCTTTCTGCTGAATAGCTTGCCGCACAACTCACAACGAAACGTCTTAGTCTCTGAAATAAGTAAATATTCATCGGAATATTGTAAATTTACTAATCACCATCATAGATACCTTTATGGCTATTATTATTACCATTATTGTTATTACTTCTAACGTTATTTTTATTATTATCATTAAATGCCTAACAAACCCTAACCATGGGTTAGGACATGCCTGCGGAGATGTGCGTTTCTGAAGAATGTCTGGCCGCAAATATCACACATGTGAGTCCTCTCCTTATCTTTATCCTTATCCTTATCTCTTGTCGATCTTTTTTTCGACTTATCAGTCAGACTCACATCGCCATTGTTATTATTATTGTTGTTATTATTTATATTTTTCTTTTTCTTTTTTTTAATGCTGAGCTTCCATTCGGCGTCGCCACTATCATCATCGTCGTCGTCTTCGTCATTCTTGTAATCGTCGTCCTTATCACTTTTGAATTCATCATCGTCATCATCGTCTACGTAATCATTATCGTCATAGTAATTGATATTACTCATGAAAATATCATTCTTGCTATCTATATCGATATCATTATCCATATTATTATCATTATTATTATTGTTATTATTATTATTATTATCACCAACAACATTATTATTAATAATAATATTATTTCCATTACGACTAACAGCATCATCATTACTGTTGTTATTATTGTTATCATTATTAACAGTGGTTCCATCCTCATTATCATTATCATCATCATCATCATTATTCCTATCAATGGTACCAATAGCATCGATAGCATCGTCATTATTATTCTTATTATTATTCTTATTTTGAAATTTCTTAAGGGTAGATGGGCTGATTTTTTTGATGATTAGCTGGGGGTCGATGAGGAATCCATGCTCATCCCTGGTGTGGTTAAGTAGGAGGCCCTTTTCCCTAAAGGTCAGGTCGCACTCGGTGCATTTGTACATGTGCTGGCCTGGGTTAGGTAGGTATAGATAGGGGTATAGGTGTGTCAATGTTATTGTTTTATATTAGTTATATTATATTATATTATTTTACACACACAAACACACACACTTTTAAACACTTTCACACACACTCGCACCACACATATTCACACAGCTACACAAACAAACACAGACTGACACACACACACACATACACACACAAAAATGATTGAAAACCTGTATGCACTGCATGATGTCTTTTTAAGTGGTAGAAACGTTTGAATGACTTGCAGCAAATATCACATTCAAATGTCTACATTGGGATTAATTATAATTATAATTGAGATAAATAATAATTTTAAAATAAAATAATTACAATGCAAATAATATTATTACTAAATAATAAATAACTGGTCTACAGTAACATTTATCATAGTTACAATAAAGAACATTGTGAACTTTTCAACACGATCATACAGATGTTTAAAGAGTTTTAAAGATATCAGGCTAAACTTATCATCACCATCTGTCATCTCTGCTGATTATTTACCATTCTACAGCACATCCCTATTCCCAAATCATTCAATATCTCCCTGAAAAAACAACCAAAAACAAAAAAAGACAGACAGACAAACAGATAGATAGATAGATAAACCAACAAACAAACAAACAACCAAAGACAAAGAAACAAACCCTAATGTCTAAATGTTCCCTGGCATGCCTCTTCATATGACTGGCCTGCATGTACTTGTGGCAGACATCACATTTGACAACTTTTCTCCTGTTTGCCAGATCAGATTCAAGATCTAGGTCCTTTGCACTGTCTACAAATGTTTCCTGAGTGCACTTTTTGCACATGTATGGGTCACACTTTGGGACTGTTCTTAGGTAGTAATAAATCTGACAGCTCTTACACTGGTACTTCAACAGTTTTGACGTTCGATTTGAATTAATTTTTTTAGGAGTTGCTGTGGTGGTCGGTGTCAGTTTCTTAGATTTATTTTTTTTCTTGCGCTGTGATCGTGGACCCCATTTATCGTCGTCTTGTGATGAGTCACTCATTTGATCAGGGTTATCATCTTCATCGGTTTCTTTATAGGTTATACCTAAACTGTGACGATTTTTTGCTCTTGCCAAGTTGTTTTCATACAAGATTCCATTGCTGTTATTGTTAATAGTTAAGTTATAGCTATCATTATAAGGATGAATATCATCATTGTTTGTAGCATCACCATTACTATCATACTCCACTTTAATTTCATCAGATCCAAGTAAAATGTTCTCATTGTAATTCCCTTCACCGTAATTACTATTACATTTTTGAGTTGTTTTTCTGCCTGGAGTTGTCGGAGCAGCATCGATGTGGTCGGAAAAGTTTTCAACATCACTCTCTTCCTGACAACTATAAGGCCCACCCTCTTCATCCCCAGCCACCTCCAACTTCAAGTGTCGCAGGAGAATTTTTTGCAGAAGATTGATTTTGTATTTGAGGACTCTCACATCATTTTGAAGTTTCACTACCTTACCTTGCAGGCCAATGTATTGTGATAATGTTACTGTCTTTGTTGTTTTGACTGTCGTTTTTGACTTCATTCTCCTAGCTAAACATACGGTTGTCTGTTGTGTTGTCAATCAGTCACAATTGAATCGATCAACAAATTAATAATATGATTTGGGAAGAATGGAAAAAGGATGATGAACAAACCAATGGCTGGTTTGATTTGATAATCAAATCAATCTGATTTGTTGATATTTGATCTGATCGGTCATGTGATCCTAATTCACGATCGTGCAATATGCATCCCCCAACAAATTACACAATTAGTGAATATAAATAATTAGATCGAGGAGAAAATAAAAAAAAAACCAAAAAATTGAAGCAACAACAAATTCACTCAAAATAAAAACATTTCATAGTACCAACTCGGTACAAATAAATTTTGGCCAAAAACTCATCTCAGCATCATTATTATTGTTGACCATGGTATTGTTAGGATGGAAATTAAATTTTGCGATTCATCATCCTCCTCCTCATCATCATCATCTGCTGCCTGCCAGCTCAAGGCGGCAATAGCTAGTCAGAAAGAGCCCCCCTTCTTCTATCTTTTGTCAATTTTGCGATTGCATATATGCTAATGCATATTTATAGAATAAATATAGTGCTAACTTTTACAGAATAGTGTAACAACTAATATGGTTGCTAGTTATTTTAAATATTTGATTAGAACGGAACGTCTTGCGTTGTATTTTATTGCGCGGTAGTAACCCGGTTCGTGTATTTTATTGCGCGGTAGTAACCCGGTTCGAATGCTGCCTGTGTAAAGTTTTTATGCATAGACGTACGTACACACACACACACACACACACACACACACACACACACACACACACACACACTTAGATAAGAAACATTTTGTTAAATGAATGAATTAATATCATGAAATATTATGAGTGGGTGATTGATAATAACAGAACTCGCACTGCAAACAGATGTCGCCTGGTTAAAGTGCATTAGTGTCAAACTTCCTAAATATATTTATGATGACGACGATGAAGAAGATGATGAAGGTGATGATAAGAAATTTGGGGCAAATTTTACCAAATACTTTGCACGTCTGGTTCTGGTTTACTTAACCAACGCCTGTCACTTTAAGCTTGGTAATGGCAGAATATTTGAAATATTATAACACCAGACCACACATTGTATGTGTGTGTGTTTTTGCATGTGCATGTGTTTGTATATGTATGAGACCATTTATATCTGTGTGCGTGCGTGCATGTGTGTGTGTGTGTGTGAGTGTGTGTGTGTGTGTGTGTGTGTGATGTGTAACCATACCAATGAACTCTGTTTTCATAAATAGATAAATGTGCATTAATGTTCAATGCGATTAATTTCTTATTTAAAAACTTGAGTTAAATATATATATATACTTTTTCAAAACATCTCGAAGTAAAATTAAATATTTGACATTACAAGAATCCAAATTTATTAAAAAATTGTGTTTCTTATAAGCGGATTTCTTAAAAAATAAAAAACTCAACAAAATTTTTAAAATTTTAAACATTCAGCATAAAAGAGAAAACCCCATAGTGATTAACATCGAAAATGGATAAAAGTAAACTCGAAAATTCCGAAACGAAACGAGACGAAATCGTCTTGCCGTATACATTATCAACGAGTAGCGCCATCTACAATGGCTGGTTCATGGAATGCATTGACGCGTCGTGCCCTGGGCAAGCTTTCTGTTTAAAAGTTGATCCCAATCCTGTTACCTGCCTGAAGTCTGACTATCAGGATATAAAAGTTCTGAAGAGGTTTTAGCTTTTGTTGGTGGGAATTTGGCGTCGTTGGAATTGTCTTTTGGAGTGTTTGTTATGTAATAGTTGGAGTGTTTCGTCGGGTTAATTATTTGTGTGGGGAGTGTTGTACGGTTGACGAGATATAATAATGATGAGACTACGCTAACTTCTTGCCGATTCGAATGTTAGTCTTGTTTGGAAATCGTAATCTAACCCGAAAGTAACGATCAATATTATAACTCATCATAAATATATAATCATAATTTATTTAATAATGACTTTATCGTCATAATTGTCATAATTAATAGTTATCCATCACCATCGTCATAATCCACTATCATCCATATTTTATCCACACAATTTACTGCCAATTCACCAGCCAACCTTAACCATCATTATAATTCATCATCATCTTCATCCTCATATTTCACTACAAATTCACCAGCCAATCATAACTACACTAAAAATTCACCAGCCAATCATAAATACACTACAAATTCCCCAGCCAATCATGACTACACTAAAAATCCACCAGCCAACCATAACTACACTAAAAATTGACCAGCGAATCATACGGAAACGTCTTAGTCCTTGATGGGATCATAAACTGCACGGAACGGGACGAGTGTTCCTACCAGGAGATGATGACACACCTTGCTATGTGCAGTCACAAGAATCCCAAAAAAGTTGTATAGAATGATCCTGAAGATGATGATGAGGATATTTATGACAGTCTTGAAAATGATGATGGCGATGATGGCGATGATGTTGATGATGATGATGATGACGAAAATTATGATGATGGTGGTGATGGTGAAGTTGATGGTGGTGATGATGGGGAAATTATGATGGTGATGATGACGAAAATGAAAATGGTGATGTTGCTAGAAAATAATGGTGATGATGGTGGTGGTGGAAATTATAAAGAAATGAATTGGAAAAATTGTTAATTGCCTTGAGTTTTACTGAAAGGCTTATCCATTTTTAACTTTGTATACGGTTTAAACAAAATGTGAGAAATAGAATGCAGTGAACGTATTTTACGAAACGAACATCACCATAATTCATAACACATACATCGACATCATAATTTATCACGATAATTCATCATCATAATTAATCACCGCAATTTATAACCACAATTCATCATCATAATTCATCATCCTAGTCCATCGCAATAATCCATCACCATAATTCATCGCCGTTTTAACCTTTATTAATCAATCGTCATCATCTTAGTCATCATCTTCGTCGTCGTCAGGTTTTGATTATCGGTGGTGGTGACGGTGGAATCGCTAGAGAAGCCGCGAAGCATGCGTGCGTTCAGAGGGTCGACCAGTGTGAGATTGATGAGGTAAAATAAATAAAAATAATAATAAAAACAACAATAGTAATGGAAATAACAATAATAAAAATAATTATAATACTTATAAATAATCTCAATAAATCGTAAAAATTGTAATTTATTATATTAATAACAATAAACTCTAATAAAATTGTAATGAAGAAAGTAGTTGACGTGTGTCGAGATCATCTGGAAAGTATGTCACGCGGTTATGATAACGATAAAGTTGACCTACATATCGGAGACGGGTTCGTGTTTTTGAAAGAGCGGAAGCAGGAGTATGACGTCATCATCACGGATTCCTCCGATCCTATTGGTCGGTTATTGGCGATGACGATGACGATGATGAAGATAGCGATTGAGATGGTGTTAATGAAAAAATTTCCGAACGAATGGAAAGATGAACGAATGAGTGAATCGATGAAGAAACGATTGAAAGAATGAATGAATGAATGAGAAAAATTAGTAAATGAATGATTAAATGAATGAATGAATGAAAGATTGAATCAACAAATGACGAAAACAGGACCGGCCGAAGTGTTATTTGGACTTGAGTATTACAAACTTCTATATGAATCATTGAAATCTGGAGGGATTATTGTTAGCCAAGGTAATTTGGGCTTAATTAATAAAATAATTCATCCAAATATCCATCCATCCATCCATCCATCTATCCAACCATCCATCCATCCATCCATCCATCCATCCATCCATCCATCCATCCACCACGACAGGCGAGTCATTATGGATAGATGGAGGAATGGACTACATGCCGGAACTGATAAAAGAGATCTCCAGTATCTTTCCATCTGTCGATTACGCCTACACGTACATACCTTCCTACACAACTGGTCAGATCGGCTTCATACTGGCCAGTAAGGACGAGGTGATGATGATTATGGTTGTGTTATTATTATTCTTATTGTTAAAGTTCTTTATTACCTGTAATGATTAATTGAGTAATTATCGTATATCACGCAGATTACATCATTTCATTTTTATTTTCATCGCCTTTTGATAAAAATAAAATTGTTTCCATAATTTTATTTATTTTTAATTTTTTTCTACCCAAGGGTACTAACTTCCGGAAACCGGTTCGCATTTTGAGTGACGTGGAAAAAAGCTCGATGAACTTGCAGTACTACAGCGAGAAGGTTCACGAAAGTTCCTTTGTATTCCCAAGGTTCATTCAAAAGGTGTGTGTATGTTTGTGTGTGTGTGAATGTTTGTGTGCGTGTTTGCGTTCGTGTGTTTGATGTTATTTATAAATTGTCGTCGAGGTTAACTCGATGTGACGGAGTTTGCTTACATTTTCTGGCTTTGTTTATATGTTTTTTAATCGTTATCGTGCTAGCTGTGCGTTGAACTTTAATTACGTCACCGTAAGAATCGTCATCTATGTCATCCTCGTCTTCATTATCATTGTTAGGATTATCTATATTACTTTGGTTGAAATTTTACTCAGAAAAAATTTCACATAAATGATGATGATAATTCGACTGCAATTATTATATCAATTACACAGGTACTGGATCAGTGCTTGAACAGGAATTAGAAAAATATAACGAAATGACAACGAAACTATAACGAGATAATAACGAGACTATAAAAAAGATGATAACGAGACTATAAAAAAGATGATAACGAGACTATGACGATACTATAACGAAACGATAACGAATCGGTAATAAGTTGATATCTGCAATGAACGTAATTAGGTTAAAAATGAAAATGATTGATAACATTTTGATAGGGCCGATAAGATGATAATAGTGATGACGTCATCACATAATAGTCACATGATGTTATGAACGTGGTGATGATGACGATAATGATGATGATGATAATGATGATGATGATAATGATGATGGTGGTGACATAATCAAGGGTTGCGATTATTTCTTATTACAGTTTTAAGAACGTTGTATCACATTCTCAACAGTAATTTATGGCATGCTATAAAATGTTCTTAGTTTTTTTTCATGATTCCATATAGTTATTCATTATATAAATATATATATTCATATATTCATTTATTTAATTGTTTAAAATGATTAATTATCTTTATATTTTTATATATTTATTCATTCATGTGTTAATTCATCTTTGGTTTTGTTAGTTCGTTAATTTGTTCATTATTTAATTGACTAATTCTTTTAATCCATTAATTAATTAACCAATTAATTAATTCGTTCGTTCGTTTGTACATTCATTCATCCATTCATTCACCCAATCATTCACTCACAAAACGCCGCTACAACCAGCCACTAATGCTTCTCTGTCGCCATGACAACGCTGCTTGTAACTATGACGGTATGTAAGCATTGGTTGTTGTTACTGGCTGGCTGGTTGGTTGCATTCTTATAAAATATGCCTGTCTCGTGTTGTGTTTTGTCTCGTTATGAAGCATATTGTTGGCTGTTGTTTATGTTACTTGTGTGGTGATTTTTTTGTATTTTAAATCCGCATGTTGAAACCTTAAATTTGTATATGGTAGTAAATACGGATTTTATAATAATAGATTGCTCTAAATTTTTTGTGTTCAATTGATTTTTATAAGAATTTGTGTTGTTATGTCTTTTGTTGTTGAAAATTTAGTAAAATTTTTATGAAAAAAAATGTTTGTAACTTTAAGTAAATTCGTAAAACTGTACGTTACCGTTGAGCGATAAACAACACATCAGTTTGACGATAAAATTTAATAGTCTTTCCGTTAAAGTGCAAACATGAGCAAACAAGTTAAAAAATCAGGAAAGAAAACTAAACCCTCGTCGGAATCAACAACCTACAGATCAAAATCTAGGTCAACTTCAAGGTCAACCTCGCGTTCGTCATCGAGGTCACGCCCCACTTCAAAAGGCTCAAACACAAAGAGGTCAAAATCGAGGTCGGCCAGCTACAGCAGCAACAGCTTTGAATCGAGCAGTCACAATTCAAAAAGTAGGTCAAGATCAAGGAGTGCATCCAGTGACAGTGATAGGGCGCCAACCTACAGATTGAGAAATAGGTCACACTCGAATGAAAAGCCCGCCAAAAGTGGTGAAAACAAGTACAAACGTAGCTCTAGCGAGCATAGAAAACCGCGGAATGAATTAGTCAGAAGTGGGGAGTTGGAAAGTTTGAACGGTGCCGGAAGGTGGCGCAAAAGTGAGCCAAAGTACGAGCCCAGATACCCCACGTACGGACTGAACCCGATGAAGTTGGAGGGGGTTAGTTAGTTAGTGCATATGGGTGTCACTTACTTCAACTAAGATTTCATTGAGACTTGATTACGTTCATTTATTATTTAAGTTTACTAATTAACTATTTATTCCTTCAGTTAATTATTATTCGATGTTATTATATTCATATATTGCTAGAACCAATCATTGAATAAATATTTTAACTACCAGGCAAGACGAGACACGACGAATTACTATATACACCGTCGTAAGGTCAACTAATTTTATCATTATTATGTTATATAAAAAACAATAATACAATTAATATAATATTGTTCTAAAAAATTATTTCCATAATTATTATTATTAAAATATTATTGTAATAAATTATAAGCAGGCCTATTCTGCACAACAAACTAGAGGTGAGCATGGGAACGGAAATCTTGGGAATTCCATAGTTCTTATGGGATTCTCAATGGAAATTAGTAAAACTTAATTTTCTAGAATGGGAATTTTAGGGAATAGAGAATCGCAGTTCGGGAATCGGGAATGATGGGCGGGAATGGAAAAAATGGAAAAATTACATCTACGTGCGAAAATAAAAGCCTACGCATATATTTATATAGGTATACTTGTACATATGTGATCCACGTATTCACATAGGCACACACGTACAAGATAATTCCATAAACAACTATGTATATATATAACTTTATATAACCCTATATAACTCTATATAACCCTATGGGGAAATAGAAATCTAGAGAGAATGGGAAAACGCGGGGATTAGGTAAAAAAATAGGGAATGGAAATTTTCTGGAACGTTTTCATAAATGGGAATTCGGGAGAAAATCGGGAATGAGAAAAAAAATGGGAGGGAATTGGGAACAAGTTTCAATTCCTGCTCACCTCTACAACAAACTAGAAAGTGTGTTTGACTAAATTCAATGTGCTTCGGTAACTAATTATGTTGTACTGATTAATTAATTATTATATTATGTATTATATTATTTAGTGTATAATTAATTAATTACTCTTCAGATAGCTGAAGTGAAGTCTAGAGTGGACAATCGACCACCCACCATCTATCCACACGTGTACTGCAACATGAAAAAGTTAAAGGTAGACGTTTTTTTGTAATTTTTAAAATTCTTTTTTCTTTTTTATAAATTAATTACAATAAACAAAATCAAGAGTTAATTAAATTTAAAACTTGTTTGATATTCCACGAAGTTTTGTATAATTTCTTGCCGGGAAAAATGATGTATATAGTTAGAAGCGCAGATACCGTGTTCGATTGCGAAGAAATCTCTCACGTATCTTAACCTAAATTATAAAAAAAGCATTGATTTACACAAATTAACATACGCTCTACGTTGTTTGGTTATATTAAAACGATATTATTAATGATAAAATAATTTTTATCCATATTTTTTTATATATTTTGTATTTATTTAAATTTTTTTCATTAATAATAACTAAATCAAAACGATTTTATTTACTAAAAGATAATTTTATTCATTTCATTTTATTTTATTCATTTTATTTTCAGAGACAGCAAGAGGAAAGAGCCCTAATAGAACGCAACAACCAATTCCTCCTATCGAAACTCTATGTGGCGGCCACTACGACTCGCGTCGACAACAAAAGCCAGGGACGCGACGCGTTTTTGTGAGTTTAATTTTGATTTGATACTGCTGCTACTACTGCTGCTACTGCGCTGCTACTACTGCTGCTGCTACTACTACCACTACTACTATCTCTAATGCTTCTACTACTACTACTACTACTACTACTACTACTACTACTATTACTACTACTACTACTACTACTACTACTACTAATATAAATGAATGTTGATAAATAATAAAAAAATTATGACTTTAGTAAATAATAATAAACAAATTACAGATTTTTAATAATTACTTTTTCTTTAACTTTTATTAAAAACTTTTTTTCTATTTCATGTAAGGCGTGAAAGGCAGAGAAATCAGAAGAGGTGGGAAGAGTTAAGGCAGACGAGTAGTCAACACGCATCCAGACAACAGTCATCACATCTGCCTGGAATTTAATATACCACTACTGACACTACTACCAATGCCGATACAATTACTACTACTACTACTACTACTACTACTACTACTACTACTACTACTACTACTACTACTACTACTACTACTACTACTACTACTACTACTACTACTACTACTACTACTACTACTACTACTAGTACTACTACTACTACTAATACTACTAGTAGTAGTACTACTTTTAATTTTACTACTATTACTACAACGACAACTGCTACTATTACTACTACTGTTATTGCTACAGATGCTGCTTTTACTGCTACTACTTCTATTACTACTGCTATCTATAAATCTATTAAAATATTTTTCTAATAATTTCCGATCAATGAACCCTGATAACATTTAATTGTGGATAATTTTTTATTAAGTTCGATTTGAAAAGTATTTACATATCTTTGATATAGACGTTGAAATGATAAAAACGTTTCTTATTAATAAATAAACATTGTAAACATAAACGTTTATATTTGTATATATATATATATATATATATATATACATTTGTGTGTGTATATATATATATATATATATGTCCCTTTATATATAAATAAATAATATATATGTATATATATCGATATATATAGTGAGAGAGAGAGAAAGATTGAGAGAGAGAAAGAGGTTGAGAAAGAGTGAATGACGAAGAGAGAGTTGAAACCGTTTATCTTGATATTCTTCATTGATTGCTAAATTAATTGCGATAATTATGATTAAAAGCTAATTTAAATTATTATAATGATTAGTTTGTATACATACGTACATACATACACATACATACGCACACATTATTTTTGAAACTGTTTTAATAAATTATTTTTTGAGTGAATCTGAAGTTGTTTTTTTTCTTATATAAAATACACAAATCTAAGACAGTCAATCGGACATGTACAATACGTTTTGGAGGAGAAATTTAGAGATTTCGGTCGAGAAATTTGTTCGTGATCATCTGAAAATCAACACCGACGACGACGGTGCAGTCAAATCAGATCGCAAAAATTCTGGAAAAAATTTGAAGGTCAACAAAAGCGAGAATTTGACAAAAACCAGCAGAAGAAAAACATTCAACATTAACAGCAGCAACAATGTTGCTACTGAAATCAACAAAAACAATATTTTCAACAGCAACAATGTTGCTACTAAAAACAACAAAAACAATGTTTTAAACAGCAACACCAACAAAACGGTGCCTAGCGCCACTAACTTCAACAGCAGTCAATCAAAGTCCAAGCCACAACATTCGAATAAAATGATTCAGACAAATTTCTTGCTCAACGTCATGAAAGAAGTCCCCAGAAAACCCGTTAGTTCTTCCCTCCTTAAAGAAATCTGCCCTAAAGCAAAGCTCCCCTTCGAACCTCAGTCCCCATTGCCACAACAGCCAAAAAGACAGACAGAATTTTGTGATTTGACTCAAAAAGTTGATTGCCGTGCAACACAACAGCAGCAGCAAGAATCATGTAAATACCAACAGGAGTTTCAACAGCAGCAGCAACAGTATCAGCAACAGTATCAGCAACAGTATCAGCAGCCCGATCACCAGCAACCACCTAAAAAATACAAATTCATAAACAGTTTAAAGTTCTTACCAGTTAACAAAGAGCCAACACGTCAGAAGATACCACCGGACAGATTAAAAAAATCCCTCCCACGAAAACGGTTGACACCTCAGGAGCAAAGAACGCAGGAGCGAGAAAATTATTTAGCGGAAAAGGAGCGCATAAAATGGGAAATAAAAGCGAAAAATAAATTCCTATCGAAATGTTTAAAAGAGAACATGATTAAAATGATGCCTGGAAAGTTAGAAGAACTGCTGGTTGACATTATGAGGCTGGTTCTTGCGGGAAGGCCTACTGTTAAAAAAATATACTGCTTCATTTCGGCCTATTTGGATTATAGGCTGGATAGGTTAGGAGGACATTGGGTTTGTATGTGAGGCTATGGTTAGGTGTTTTTGTGGTTTTAGTATCTGTTGTTTGATTTAAATGTAAAACTATTCATTTTTAGATTATTATTATTTATATTATTATGTATTTAATTATTATTCATTTATCCGTTTAAAGAAGGACAATGGAAGAGTTGAACATAAAAGAAATCGGGACTTTTCATTTGCGTATGTCGTCGTCATCGTCCTTTACGTCATCATCATCACCATCATCACCATCATCACCATCAACATCACCATCAACATCATCATCACCATCATCACCATCATCATCGTTTTCATTATCACTTCTGTTTTTTATGACTTAACTTGCCACTTACCACTATGCCATCATTTATACATAGCAACTTTTTTTTATTAACGCAGTAACTGGATTGAACTACAATAAAGGTAAATAATTTAACACACACACACACCACACACACACAAACACGCACAAACACGCACAAACACACACAAACTCGTTATCATAATTTATTCACCCATGAATATTAATTAGATGCGGACGCCGTAAGTGATGCAGTTTCCACTGAGGTTGACATATCCCAAGCCGACCCACAGCCAGTTGGGGTCGACCACCCCGGATATAAAGGCCCCAACAAGCCACCTTGGTACAAACCCCCCCGTACGTTAATTAACGTTTATAAAAATTAATTTAGAACAAATAATAATATTTAATCGAGATAATTATTCCTAATATTGTGATTAATTATTAATTATTTTGAAAATAAATTTATAGTAAAATATAATGAAATATTAAAATTAGAAATTTCAAAAGAGGCCCTGGACAAAAATTGGACTTCAGGACAGGCATCGATGAAAGAACCCTCAAAAGTTCGATTTTCGGAAATCGTTCGCGCTATCATAAAGGTACCCGAAAGTGCCCTATGTTCTGGCGCCCCAGATTTCTCGAAATATTTTTAATTGATTGATTGGTTAATCGATTGATTGGCGGAGTGATTGATTGGTTGGTTGATTGATTTGTTGGTTGGCTGATTTGTTGGTTGAGTGATTGGTTGAGTGATTGGTTAATTGGTCAGTTGTCTGGTTAGTTAGTTGATAATGAACAAAATTGCCATTTTAATCATATTGTTTTAATAAAACTTTATTTAAGTGTTGTTTTAATAAAAGAATTGAATAAATTTTAGTTAAGAAAGACAAAATGGAAAAATATAGACCTATGACGTCACTGCATCTCTTCCTCACTTTTGGAAGGTTTTTGACCGGTTGAATAGTAAAAGGGAGAACATAGGGCTGTACGAATGATTTTTTTGAGATCCAAAAAGTATAACAAATTAAAGGTGAAAATACGCGCTATATTATTTTTTCTTTCGGAAAACATTAACGTTAAGATTGGTATGTTGTTTACAATAATATAAACGCGGCAAGTTTGAATTTTAAAAAGAAAAATTTCTTTGATGCCGAGTTGAAGACTTACGCTCGTGCGGTTAAATACTACTACTACTACTACTACTACTGCTGCTGCTACTACTACTACTACTACTTCTTCTACTACTACTGCTACTACTAATAATAATAAAAGTATAAATATTAATAATAAATACAATCAACTATGCGAATGAGCAATAATATTATTACATCAAATTAAATTATAACCAGCATACATATTGATAGCTGAATAAATTAAGTGAAAATATAAAATTAAAATTAAATTAAAATATTATAATAATAAATTAAATATTACAGACAAACGAAATGAACAATAGGAATAATAGCAGGGAAGCTGCAAGTGATGGAAAGAAAGGGAGAATGAAAGAGTGTCGCTTGCTTAAGGTAGACAAAGACGGGCTGATTATCAAAGAAACTAAATGTAATAAAAACATCAAAAAACACCCAACGAAAACGGCAACTACTACTACTGCTGCTATCACTACTACTACTGCTGCTGCTACTACTACTACCGCTACTACTACTACTGTTGCTGCTACTACTACTGCTTCTTCTGTTAGCAGTCCTAGAGTTATTAAAGTTGATAACGATGATAAAAATGTTGCTAACGGTGACGATAAAGTAAATAAGGAACATGAAGAAAAAGATGAAGAGAATGGTGATGAGGAAAACGAAGATGATGACGTAATCAAGCAAATTTGTGCCAAGGTTGATGAGGCCAATGAAGAGAGAGACGACGTCATCGAAAAACAAAAACAAGAAGAGTGCAGAAAAGTGAAGCGATTTTATTTAACGCGAGATGAGGTCATCAAAAATATGACCTCAAGGGTCAACAATGCTTTTGCCATCAGGACCAACTACATCCGGTGTGAAGTTTTTCCGGAAAAGAAGACGAAGAATCAAATAAATCAAGTTAACGCGCCAAAAAAAGTAAAAAATAAACTTGAGAATAAGGAGGAGGATTCGGTGAAAGTGAAATACAGTGTAGAGGATCATGAAATACCAGAACAAGATACAACGCAACAACAAAACACCACACAAGAATACGATCAACAACAACTTGAAAAACAAAATTATTCTGACACACAACAACAACTTCAGCAGCAGCAACAACAACAACCACAGCAACAACAACCACAAAAAAATCAAAACAAGCAGAAGAAAAAATGCCAACAAAAAAGAAAATCGTACAATGTTGAAAATTTAAAATGGCACCTAAAAGAAATGACGTCACAGCTACTTGCCATGGTGGCCGTGCACAGACCTGATGACGTCAAACTTTTTCTAGCCAATCAGCTTGAAGGACAGTTTGTTGCGAGGTGTAATCAGAAAGGGGCGTACTGCGAGCTTGTACAAGAATATGGTTATGTATAGATAAGTTTGATGTGTGTTTGTGTGTGTGCGTATGTGTGTGTGTGAGTTTACGTACGTTTTGTTTATTTGTATGTTCTGTGTTTGTATATTTTATGTTCGCCAAACTTTTGTACAATGTTTAAGATTTGTCAGTTCTTCATTTATTTATCAATTCATTTTTTTTAAATTTCAGAAAGAGAGAGGAAAGCTTTAAAGAAGCAAATCCGGTTACTCAAAGAGCAATTGAAAAAAAATGTGACGAACCAAGACAAATAAAATGATGATGGTGATATTTATGAGGACGATAATGTGATGATGATGATGACGACTATGTGATGATAATGTGATGATGATGATGACGACTATGTGATGATGATGTGATGATGATGATGACGACTATGTGATGATGATGTGATGATGAACATGTGATAAAAATGATGACAATAATAATAATAATAATGATGAGGATGACTACGATGATGATGACGATGATGGCAAATTGTAAAATGGCAATAACACAAATCTTAACCACAAAGATAGTTTTCTTGTCATAATATTTTCATGTATTCAGTTCATGTACCTACACAGGTATAAAAACATACACATACACACACACATAAGCGTACACACAGACACACACACATATAAACGAACACACACACACACATACATGAACGTACAAACACACACACATTCTTTGTTTCCATCAGCCAGCCAATCACCATCGAGATAGTTTTGTTTTCATCTAGGTTTAAAAAACAAACAAATGAAGCTTTTTGATTGAGAGATTGTAATTTTTAATAATAAATGATATGTTGATGGATGGATAAATGGATGAATGAACGAACGAACAAATGAATGAATGATTAGATAAATGAATAAACAAACGAATGAATTAATGTATGAATGGATGTAGAAATGAATGAATGAATGACTAGATTAGATTAACAAGTGAACGAATCAATGAAAATAAAATATGAATGGACGAACGGAGGGATTGAAAGATAGATAAAATGAGTCGAAAGACAGATGAATAAAAAATGAAAAAAAATGATTGACTGAATGGAAAAACCACACCGTAGAATGAATAAAAAAAATTTTTGAGCGAAAGAACTAATAAATTATTAAGAAAAATTATACTTGATAGACTGAGAGGTAGAAAAAAGTGTGAATGAATGAAAGAATGAATGAATGAATAAAAAAGATTAATGGATGAAATGATAGATGGATGGATGGCTGGATGAGTGATGGTTGTATGATAAACAAAAGATCAAATCAATTTTTAGTTTCTAAACAAAAAATGCCAAAAAAATGTTTAATAGAGTGAGTGAATGAATGAGTGAATGAATGAATGAATTGAATAAATAAATGAATGAATGAGATGCGTCCTTCAAGTATAAAATCATGAAAACATAAATAAACTAATAAATAAAACGAATAAGTAATTTATGAAGACAACAGAGTTTAATAAAGCCCATATGTAGTCAGCCTCTCCATTATAAATTACCAAGCCACACAAATTATTAACATCTAACTAATCTGAACGTAAACTAACTACGACCTACATTTATCTAAACTGGTGGTACGTTTTTAGCTTTGTATTGTAATTCCAAATAAATGTAACGTCTGATTGACTGATTAATTAATCTAATTGTCTAATTAATTGACTCATTAACTAGCTAATTAACTGGTTAATTGACAAATTAGTTTTAATCTTATTGATTCATTGTTATAGCCAGACAAAGGCAGCTGGCTAATTATATTTTCTTCATAAGAAAAACACAAACATACAAGTGATTTCCTTTCAAAATTTTAAGGGGGGAAAGAAACAACAACCTCATCATTTATCATCTGGAAGCATCATCTTTAAGATGCGGACCTACGGACGAAAACGAACTAAAACACACACACACACCAACTCACATACACTCAAACATACCCACACGCACACACACGCACAAACACACATAAACATAGACCTATATACATACATATAAACCTGAATGTTCACACTCATATACACACATTCATGCATACACACATACATACACACATACATGACCTATTCATCCATGGATATATATAATATTATATATAGTATTCATCCCATTCCTGACTTCTTTTATTAATTTGTGCTTGAGCACCATTCCTTGACAAGAGATGATAAAACTAATTGTCGTCCAGTTTCCAATCTTCTGTTTTTATCAAATGTTTGTAATAATTTACCACGCCAGCATCGTCAGCCTGGATTAACTGGATTCAAAGCCAGGGCGGCGCGATGACTAAATGGTTAAATGCTATTGTAATGACTGGGTTCGAATACAAAGAGATCTACGCCTATCATATGCAATGTGTATGATGCGTGGTTTGCACGCGTATTCATGTACGATGTGTGTGTTTGTCGTTGAAACCTCTTAAGCAAACGCAAAAGAGAGAGAAACACCTTTAATCTTTAACTCTTCAACAATTCCGTAAAAAACTAAAAACTCATCTTTTTTTAGGAATTAAATCACGTGACTTGAGCAGCGCTTTTGAGAAGTTTTAAATAGTGATAAAATATAAATTCTCTAATAATAATAATAATACACACACGTACATACGCAACATACATACGTGTTGTATACGTAACGAAGCGAAACGAAACGAAATTTATTTGCTTCTCAAAATTAAAAATTAAAAGAAAGCAGGATGACCATAACAGAATTTATAAAAAAAAAATTCATCTAGTATGGCCACCTAAACAGAAATGTTCTATGTTCATACAAAAATTTTCAGCAAATAATAAAAATCTTCCCTAAATGATCTATGAGAGGCATGCTAGATGTTAGTTGTTAGTAAATTAACAAACATGAATATACATACACACTTATATATACAGACATACATATACATACTAGCATACACATTCACAGATATAGAAGCACACATATAAACACGCATTCAAATTTATGGATAACTTCTTTTAAGAAGAAAATTATGATGTATTTATGCTCGGTTGGGAATAAATGTTTTATTTGGATCTTCCACGTGTATATATATATATATATATATATACGAATGTAGGTACGTTAATGACATATGTGCGTATGTATGTGTATATGTATGTGTGTGTGTATGTGTGTGAATGTATGTGTGTATGTGTGTGTATGTATGTATGTAGACACGTATGTGTGTGCATGTGTTTGTATGTATATATGTGTGTATGTATGTGTGTATGAAATGATATAGAGTCGTTTTTGTTTGTGTGCACGAACGAACTTGTCATTTGATTATTATAAAGGTGTATTCATTGAATCATTTATTGCTATTATTATTATTATTATTATTATTATCATTATTATTAATGTAATTATTGTTATTGTTTTTAATATTTTGTTATTACTCTTATTGTTATGATATGTTTTCATCATCAGCTTCCTCATCTAGTTAATCATGCATGGGTAGGATTTGTTGGAAATCGAAAAAGACGACGACGACGATGATGATGATGTTAACTCATCATCATCATCGTCGTAGTCGTCGTCTTCATCATCATCGTCATCACCATTATCATCATCGTCGTCATCATTATCATCATCGTCTTCGTCATCGTCATCAGTAACATTATCATCAGAGTTTATAGAGCGTTCATTTCGGCAAATACAACTACTAATAAAATTAATGAATAATATTTTATATTATTATTATCATTGTTATTATTATTATTATTATTAAAATTATTTTTATTTATATTGTTAATATTAACTCTTTTAATTATTGTAGCGTTTATCGGCCAGAGCAATCGTTAACACTAACACTAGTATATAATTTTGTCTGTTTATAGCAAAATAATTAATAATAATAACAATAAATAACAATAATAATAAATAACAATAATAATAATAAATAATAATAACGTTATATTGTCATTATTTTTCTTATTACGTGATTTTATTAGCGAGAAAAAAATCCTGAAGTGAAGAAACAATTTTTTTTTGCTATGAACCGATCATTTTTAACTGCATTTAACTCTAAGAATAAAAAAAAATAATAATAATAAAAGAAATAATAATGTAATAATAATAATAACAATTACATTAATAATAGTATTATATTAATAACAATAAAAACAACAGTAAAAATTGCTAATAGTACTAATAAAAATAACAATTCAAAGCAATTGCCATAAAAAACCTTTCATTCACACAACTCTCTCTTTCTTCTCTCTCCCTCTCTCTCTCTCTTTCTATGTATATATACAAATTTCAAAAGGTAATATAACACAACATAGAATAATACTCGTTATAGCGATGTTCTTTATATAACGAACTATCTGATATAGCGTAGAACGCCTGTTTATATTCAGTTAATTTTTTTGCCTCATCGTCTTCTTAGAACCATATCAAATGATGTAATGTAATTAATATGAGAAGAAAACACACACACACACAACTGTATGTCTGTCTGTGTATACGTGTAAGTATTTGTGTGTGTGTGTGTATGTGTGTGTGTGTATTTATGTACATATTCTTGCGTTTGTGTATGTATGCATAACAGACATACAAAAATCCAAACAGGTATTTCGTAACGTTTTAATGTAAAGAGTGAAAATTGTACATACATAGAGAATTTTTGTAATATATGTCTGCAACAAAACACCTAAAAAAACACACGTATGTACATTATATACACATACAAATACACACACTTATATTATTCATCCACACTCACATACAAATATACGGTATATTTTTTTATTTGCTTCAAAATACACACACGCACAAATATATACCCACAAAAGCATGTAAACGAGAACACATATACTCGGTCAATCACACACACACATACACACACACACACACAAACATGCACGCAGTCACACGCACAGACACACACACACAATCTCACAAACCCACACGTATCGCTCATTACTGAAGTGTTGATTGAAGACCCAAACAAAATATAAAATTGCATGGCATGTCATAGCATTGTATGTATGTATTTGTGTGTGTATGTATATGTATATGTACGTACGTACGTGTGTATGTAAGCATGTACATACATATAAAATTTCGTTTCGTTCCGTAGGTGTGTATGTATGTATGTATGTGTGTGTATGTATGTATGTATGAAGTGTATGAAGTTGGGTTAAATTTCATCACCAGTGGCATCTTCATAATAATCTTTCTCATTTTCCTACCTCTTATATTTGTTGCCATCATCACCGTCATCATCATCATTAGCATCATCATCATTATCAGTACGTCATCATCATCATCATTATCATTATCACCATCATCGTCGTTATCTTCATCACCCTTATTAATGTTATCATTTTTCAAAAATTTTCACAATTTGACGATTAGCACTTTTCCCAAAGGTGTCCAGTGGCTGTGACATTCATTTTCCATTTTAATGTTATCATCACTATTCATTTTTTTTTTATCACACAATAACAATTACAATTATCATTTTCATCATCGTCGTCGTCGTCGTCATCAACATTTTTAACCAAGATAATTAATGTGGTTGGAGCTATCAGAAATGATTGACAAGATGGTTTCGTTAAGCTCCGCCCCTTTCCTCTCACTCAGCGGCAGAGTTGCCGTCCTGCTAAGGGCAACAGTTATTTCCTCCCTTTTGATTGGTTGAACTTTTCTTCTAATCAAACAAGAGCAGGCCCATCTTTTTAAACCTTCAACCAATGAAAGATAGACAATCGGGGTTAAAATGGCGTTCATCAGTACGGAGCAAACAGCAAAAAATTCTAATTTCTTCATTGGCGAATAAGCGTTGCT